AAAAAAAAAAAAAAAAAAGGAGAAAAGCTCAGAGTGACTTGGCTTATTTGGAAGGATTACTTAGCATCTGGCCAGGTATGTGGAGTTCTTTACATGTGGCCACAACTGAGTTGATCTGAAGTCATAAGAGCTGCTGAGGGAAAAGGAGGCCAATCTAGTGCAACAACCCTTCTCATCCTGGAATGGTGTCATCCTTGTGAAACTCAGTTGAAATGGACATCTCAGGAAGCTCCAAGGGGAAAGAGATAAATGGGACTCCATCAAACTTAAAACAAAACAAAACAAAAACAAAACTACTGTGTTTTAAAGGATACTACCAAGAATGTGAAAAAGGCAATTGGCAGAACCAGAGAAAAGAGTTGCAAATCCTATGTATGATAATGGTCTAGCGTCCACAATACATAAAGAACTCTAACAACTAAACAATAAAAAGAATTTAATTTTTTAAATGGGCAAAGGATTTGAATAGATATTTCTTCAAAGAAGATACACAAATGGTCAGTAGGCACATAAAAGTATGACCAACATCACTGCAAATCAAAACCACAGTGAGATACCACTGCACACACACTAGAATGGCTATAATAAGACAGACCACATGACCCAGGAATCTCAATTCTAGGTAGATATTCAAGACAATTGAAATCATAGGTCCACACGAAAACTTGTACTTTGAATGTTCATGGCAGTGTTACTCATAGTAGCTAAAAAGTAGAAACAACTCAAAAGTCTATCAACTGATGAATTGGTAAATATGATGTGGCATAACCAAGTAATAAAACATTATTCAGTATAAAAAGGAACAAAGTGCTGATGCCTGCAACAACACGAGTCTTGAAAATACAATGTCCTACGAAAGAAACCAGTCACAAAAGGCCACATGAGATTCCATTTATATGAAATGTTCAGAATAGGCAAGTCTTAGAGACAGAAAGTAGAGTGGTGGTTACCCAGGGCTGGGGAGGGAGGGTTGGGCAACTATTATTAATAAGTCAGGTGTCTTTTTAGGGTGAAGGAAGAGTCCTAAAACTGATAGTTGTTATGGTTGCATAGCTTTGTGAATTGAATTGTATACTTTAAAAGGCTGAAATGTATGGCATGTGAATTACATCTCAATTTTCAGAAAAGGAGCTCAAGGGGAGAAAAATTCATGAGGGACAGAATTTTGGAAAATTTGAACTCAAAGGGATCTGAATGAACATGAGAAATCACCAAAAGCAGGATTTTTCAAGTGGGATCCGTGAAGCCTAAGAGCATTCAGGTGGGCAGCAAAGAAATGCAGAGGTGGAAAGGAACCTGGTAGTTTGAGCACGAGGACCCTCTTCTTTGACCCCCTGCCCTCTGCTTTATCCAGAGCAGCTCTAATCTTATTTGTTTCACATGCTGGCTTTTTTGGTAAGGTTTGAAGAACCGATTCTGCAGCTCAAAATAGCCTGAAATAAATTAGAATAGGGCCATCATTTTACAGATGAGAAAACTGAAGTTCAGACAGGCTGAGTGACTTAACGAGCATAACCCAAGCCTTCCTCAGGAGGCTGTCCTTCACGTGTGGCCCCTAATCTTAACTCCTTCTTGGATCCAAGCCTCCAGACCAACGATTCTCAAACTGTGGTCTCCAGACCAGCCAGCAGCATCAGCATCACTGGGGAATTGGTTAGAAATGCAAATTCTTGGGTCACACCCCAGACCTACCAGAAACTCTTGGGGTGAGACCCAACCACTGGGTTTTAAGAAGCTCTCTCAATGAGTCTGATGCCCACTGAAATTTTGAGAACCACTGCATTTGCCCCCAGTGCCTAGAACATAACCCCCAAGGAAATGTCCCTCAAAAGGAAGTAAGTTGGGAGCAAAAGTTAACAGGGGTGGCTAAGGAAGCTGATTTGTAGGGAAAGAAGGTTGGAGATGATTTTGCCAGGAAGAGAATATCACCAACCCACGTTTAAAAATGGAAGGTGCCGAAAGAGAAAATAAATAACGAATAAGGAGCAAATATAATTTAGTAAGAATTCTGAGCATGTAAGGCTGGTATCGAAAGATCTGATTTAGGAGCAATTTATGCCAATTGGCAACAACACGAGAGTTGCCAGAAATGTTTCTGAATTAATTCTAAATTGGTATATGAATATCTAGCTGGCTTGAGGCCATCGGAGAAAAATGATCATGATAGTCTTTAATCAAGCCCAAGTTGCTGCTTCTTTCTCCTTTACATTTTAAATACCACTTTGGAATTGGAAACTTAGCAAGGACTAACCTTTTGGTCACAATCAGCTCAATCTAAGGAAACTGGAAAGTCTGTCATTTCTTAAAAATTCAGAACCTGCTGGCTGGGGTTGGGGTAGCAGGGTGAAATAACATTATATATCCTGGAAGTTGCTTGATGCAAGGAAGCGAGCTCTCCTGCTGACCAGATGTTCCAAGTGATAAAATGCACTTCAAATGTGAAAATGACTTACACTCTGGCAAACAGATCTATTGGAGATACCAGCTTAATAAATAAGGTCATCCCACATCATGTGACTTAAAGGAACTTTACGGCCACTCCAACTCCAGCCAAGAATCACTTCCAAGTGACTGGCATTCTTATTAGCACGTGCCTTAGAAATTGACTTAACAAACAGATACCACACATTCATCTGTAGCTTAATCCGCAAATGTTAGAGAAGATTTCTGAAACTAGCACACTGGTATAGATGGAAGGAACTTGTGAAGTTTTCTTTTACATGATCAATGGAGGGGGGAAAATGTGTATTTTTTTTTTTTTTTTTTTTTTTTTTTTTTTTTTTTTTTTTTTTTTTTTTTTTTTTACCTCTTGGCCCATTTCCATGCTGCAAAGTTTTGTTGATTGAGCTTTGGCATCAACCATAACATTAAACATGGTGCATATTGACTGTGGGACTCGAAAATCTGTTGATCGACTGGTTTTTTGCAGCTTAACTTCAAATGCAATCCTGGTTCTATTAAAACAAAGTAGGAAAAGACCAATTCAGCATTCGTGGCGGCAGGTGGAGGAGACATTTTCTGAGAGGTCAGTGAAAAAGAAAATTGAAGGCTGTAATCAGTTTCAGTCGACAATGACTTCACATGTGTTCTTTTAAAAATGACTTTCCCAACTAAGGAAGGCCTATTCACGCAGACAGCCACGTAAACCCTTCCTTTCTCGGCAGAACACGGAACACCTGTAGCTCAGGGTATTTCTGTCTATAGTTTACATGCTATGGAGAACCCTAATTGCAGGAGAATGAATGAATGAACAAAAACCCAATTATAGCATTATAGCATATGTAACTTCTCTCACATTGGCAACTGCCTACCTTGAATCACTTCATTAAAAAAACAAAAAACAAAAAAGCAGCTTCTAATCTTCAAAGTCTCATGGTGGGGGAAAAATCTTAAATGACATTTGGTGTTTTTTTTTTTTTTTTTTTTTTCTTTTGGTTTTGAAAGAGACCGAAGTAAAAAAAAAAAGTCCAATTATTATATGGCTTTAAGGACTAAAAAAATAAGATAGGTAACTTTGGGGAGGAAAGTTCAATTAGAAGGAGTGATATCAGGGGACTTCCAGTATATTTGTTTGCAATGTCTATTATTCTGCAGTATGAGTATATATTTTTTACAAGTGAAAATGGCATAATATACTTACCAATTCAATAACTGTGTAATGGTAAAAGCTTAGAGTGACATAATTTTGACATAGGTCAAATTCTGATCCCAGCAATGTGCTTACTGCTCACAGGAAAAACCTAGTCTGCCGTGGCCAGCTGGTAATACAGGTGTGAGATTTAATCCTTGGTATCAGCATTGTAAAGGGGACCAGTTATATTGTAAAAGGTTTTAGAGAAGTGGGTCACATCATCACACGTCTTGAAAGAAAAGCGCCTGGCTAGTAAGTGGTTTTATTAAAGCTCCTTTCGTCCAATGTGTCTTTTCAGTATTGTTCACGGTCAGGTTCTGGAGATCATGCAGCCACCAGGAAAGCATTGCTTTAGGAGGTATTTGTAGCAGTTTTCTAACAGTGCATAGGAGGACCACACAGCTAGTTAGCTCGGGAAAGGATGCCAGCTTGCTAACACACCCTGAGTGCATGCAGGGAAGCCAAGTATAATTTCTAAGGTTGGAAGCCTAGTTCTTAAGAAAAAAAACTTAAAAAAAAAAAAAAAAAACCTTAAAACACTCCTATATATTATATGATCATGTTAAAGATAAATGTATCTTGGCTCCTAAAGGCTCGGTGCACTGAAGTAGCTTTCTAATCATGATGATCATTTTAAGCTACGCTGAAAATACATCCTTTTCTGGTTTTGTGAAAAGGATGTCTGATGGGGACTGAGCTGGACAGGTCCCTGTGCTGATCTGAGGCCTGCATGCCAGTTCCGGCCCAATTTGAGAAGGGGAAGTGCTAAATCGCTCCCTTACAAGGAAGTCACCGGCTTCTGTTTCCACAGGAGAACTGTGCACGGCCCTGGGAGGGTGGGGCTGTGCAAAGGGGGAAGCCAGAGGCAGAGTTAATATGACTTACGGGGCTCCATAGAGCAACGTGCCAGGGACGGCGCAGTCACTGAATCTACATGACTCTCCTTGAGGGCAGGGTTAGGGGGCAATGTGTTGGTGAAATACGGTATCTGATATAGACTAGACTGCAGGCTCTGTCACGCCCATCGAATGAATGATTTAAACTTCTTAGAAACTTGGAAATGAAGAGCGCCTGATTGAAACTTTTGGATGTCGCATATTTGCATCTATGAAATCATGTCCTTATGTTGATGTCCTTCTAGAACGAGGGCCATCGATTCTGTCCCAAAGAGGAAAGAAAGCCAAAGATCTAGGCTCTACTCATGTGGATTCTATGTCTTCAAATATCCAAGGACTTTTTCGTATTTTACCCTCTGCATCTGGAGGTTGGGGGGTGATATTTGCACTTATATTTGCAGTTGTCTGCTTTTGTCTGGGGCCTTAATTGGAAGGGACATCCAGAAATTTAAGCATCCATCGCTGATGTGCAGGTGCAGTTGACTAACTTTTGTTAACGAAAGGTTACTTCACAGCTATGTACCAAACATGACGCTGGGACCTGGGGGGCCAGGAGCTCAGAGAGAATCAGATAGACTCCCTGCCTGTGAGTGCTCCACACTCCTTGGGGTGGCTGTTCCCCAGAGATTTGCAGTAAGGGAGTCACTGTCTATCTTTCACATCCACATGTCTTCCTGTGGTCTCCCTACCCTACTCCAAAGACTGGCTTCTCAGAAGGGCACGCACATCTTTCTGTACAATCGTGTGCACAGACCGGACGCGGGTAAGTGTTCATTCTAATGTGCCGTAGCCCTGAGTACAGATCAGGAGAGAATTTTTCACCACAGGGGAACTGCCCCACAAGAAGGTTTTGGCGGAATGCTTTGGCCACACGAAAGAAGTTGCTCTTCCTAAAACCGATAGAGGCCATGTAGGAAATGGCAGAATTTGAAATTCTCAGGAAACATTTTGACCTTGGTTTTGAACAGTAGGTCTGCCTTTGGTTCTAAGAGTGCGAAGACAAGAATAAAACACAAAATGTGGGTCGCCAGGACTGTAAGCTTCCAGAAGTGCCATCAAACACCTGTCCAGACTCCCCACAGCATGTGGCTCCTTTTCTCATTCTTGCTGAGATGCTCACGTGCCTAGGACCGTGCTGTTCTTTTGCCCTTGTGGTTCCCAGTTTTGATGCTATTACTTCTCTTTTCTTCCTCCAAGATATAAAACTCAGATCACTCCCAGACAAACCCAGCCCCCGTCACCCACAACTGATCCATCAGCCAAACGACACAACATCTGGAGATCTGGAGTGGCCTAGGCTGCTTGTGGTCTCTCCTTTTTGTTTTGAATGGAGGAAGAATAATGGAACAATTATGAACTGGAAAAGGAACTTGGATGTGTGTCTGGGGACAGACAGGGTGATGATAACGATGTTAAACCAGAGGCATTTCATCTCTGTGTCTGATACACAGATATAGATACTCCAGGAGGGACGGGCTGTGGTGTCTTATTCTTCGATGGTATGCCAAGAATGTAGCACGGTGCCTGGCAGATAGGAGGAGCTAAACAATTTTTGCTGAATGGATGCATATTGTTCTCATTTTCTTCTCTTCACTTTCTCAGAACATTCTACCTGGGAGCTTCAAGTGCCGCATGCTCACCTCAATCCTATATGCCGCAGCGACAGAACAGGCAATTTGTAGGAAATCAAAATGGCCCCTGATGGATAACTAGTTAGATTTGGGGCAGGACAACTAAGAGTTGGCACACAGTAAGTGCTCAGTTCGTGTATATAGACCGAATGATGTCGCTGAGGTCTTGCTCACGTTTCTTAAAAGGCATTCGATTCCCACTACCTGTACTGGATATGGCGGCTCCAGAATGGCGTGTACTTCTCTTTATTTCATCTAGTTGTCCCCTCCCACATACACTTGTACCTTTAACAAATATTTATTAAGTAAATACTTTGTGTCAGATGCCGCTAGATACCAGGGATACAGAGCAGAATAAGAACACACATGGATCCTTCCCTCAGGGAGCTAAGTGAAGAAACTGGCTGCCATATTGTGCTGGGTTTGGGACAGATGGGTTTGGGGTGGGTGAACAGGAGCTAGACTTGGGTGGCCACCACTCTGGCTGACTTTGACGAGCAATCTCCTTCTCCCCTCAAAAATCCAAATTTCGGCCAATCAAATGAGTGGCCGCCTACCATTCCCCGAGTCAGAGGTTAGTGGAGAGGGCATGCAGAGCCTGTCCAGCCACTAGGCTTACCTTTTGACACAAGATTCAATCATGTCACTTGCCATCAGCTTCAGCCGTTGTTCTAGGTGCTTTCCAAACTCTTCTTCGGGCCAGTGCAAGTCCCGAATGAAGGTCTGAAGGGCATCGAGTTTCCAGAACAGATCTTCTGAAGTGCCTGATCCATTACTGGCAGGATAAAAATTAGAAAACAACAGTCACCCACCGGCCTTGGGTTCTGGAAAAGCTGACACAAAGACGACTAGGCGCTAGAAGGCTTAAGGCAAACAGTGGCTTCAACATACAAAACGACGCATGTTGGCGGTGGAGGTGGGGGCAATCTCCACCGGCAGATTTTGAGTTTTACCATACATGACTTAGTCTGCTTTGTTCGGCCAATCATTCCAGACCAGTGAGAAGTCTGAGGAAAGGTGTTGCCCCACCATGATCAGGAGAACGGTGTATGGTAAAAATCAGCCTTCTTTTAATAACCACATTAACACATGTGATGATTTAGATGAAGGCCACGAACCAGAGGGAGAAGTAAGTCTCAACAGATAATAACTACATGGCAACATGCAGTTATTAAAATTCAGGGTTTCATGCATTTCCCCAGCTCCCCTCCAGAGCGGAGGTCTCTTGGAGATTGCACAAGACTTTCAGTTTTAAAAGGACAGTGCTAACAAAGTGGTGAGCGAGGACCTGCTTTCTCTTTTGAAGAGCTGGAAAGAAACTGGGGTGACTCAAATCAAGACGAGTACACCTGGATACCTTGAGTCCAAGATTCTTGTTCAGTTTGGCTATTATTCCAATTATCATCGACCAGCCTGTTGCATAGACAGCCCCAGGACGAGGTGAGGTGTTGTGGGGGGAGGGGGCGATGAGCGGACACGGGATATTGGCAAAGCTTTAGGGCTCGAGACCTGAGCTCTTTTACCGTTGCACCACCTTACCCAGTCTCCTGTACAGATGGAGAAATTGGTCTTGATTCCTTTCTGTACAATGACGTGTAAGAAACTTTTACCTGGGGCATCCACGGAAAGCCTGTGTATGGGAAATGCTCCGCCTCTCACCCTCTTGCCCTTCTCTGGCTGGCTTTCTCTTTGGTAACAGTCCCGTTTGGAGCTCTGAGGGGTGGCCACCCACCCCCCCTTCCTCGCATACCACTAATGCTAACACGGTAATTTATAAAATGTCCAACACACCATGCATTACCACTTGTTCTGACATCGTCTATAGAAACAGATGAGAGTGGGTGTTTCTATTGTGACAGATGCCAGCTGCATTGAATTAATGCTTCAGAGAGAAATATAGCTAGTGCATAAACGCATACACAGCTACTGTGGGGTGGGGAGGGGGCAAACTCCCAACATGCCAAGAGGGAGCCTATGGCCTGGACCAACAGGGTAATGTTTCCAAGGACAGACCAGTCTGAGGTCAGTATGTAGATGTATCTGACACGAAGGAGCAGGTAACATGGAAACACGTCCTTAAAATGAAAGGTGGCAAAGGAGGAAACCGGAATTATGAAAAGATATAGAATCAGGCATTTCCTGGTGAGCGATTGAGGATCTACGCCTTCTACTCAGATACTGCCGTAAGCACTGTTCAAAAGTGGGGGAATGCATTGTTTCTCCGTGAAAGTTCAGCCTTCCCCCTGCCCCATCCTATGCTTGGGAAAAAGAAACCCCAACTTGGTCTAGTCTAAACCCCGTTTTGGAACTGCATGGTTGTATGTTTTAAATCATTAAGTACATATGAATGCAATAATTGGTATTTATTACAACAACATTTTGACACCCATCTGGTTTCAGAGTTTCAAAAAATTCTTCTGGGTTTTTTTTTTTCTTTGAAGAGCTTATTATTAAGTTTTGACATGAGGAAAAGAATATTTTCTTTTTATTTTTAAGATAAACTGTTAATGTTAAGGCAATAGCACCAAGATTATTTTGATTGCTGAGCAGTTACCAAAATGTGTTCCCACTCATGCCTTAATTAATTGAATGGAGACCATTATCTGCTTTATTACAATGTCTTGATTCATATCTTTTCAGAAACAATGCCACGGAGCATGCACAAAAGAAGGTAAGAAAAGCTGTCAGATATTTATGTTTTAATTTTTAACAGATACTACCTAATCTAACTTTTGATAGAGTCATCTTAGCATGAATATGATTTACTTTTTGTAGAAGATTTTTTTTTCCAGGTATAAATTTTTGGAGGTCTTAGTTCATCGTTAAAAAGAGAATCAGACACATTGACCATATGATCGCATTGTGAACTTGTGAACGAACATAGTTTTTAAAAATGTTAGGCAACTCTGAAGCAGCCAAGTAGAGCGGTCATTGAACATCCAGTTTCTACCTGGATTATTGCAAAAATAAGAATGCCGAGGGCCATCTTGATAAATGTGATTTCGACATTTCAAAACATCACTGCCAGTTTCAGATCATTTTTTATTCCTTTGATACTAACACTTCCCTTTGAAAATGTGCCAATTTATTCTTTCAAGAAAAAGCTTATCTGGCCTATAATTAGCTGTGGTCTAAGAAAAGGATCAAAGGACGGTATAGAATCACTAAACTCTATTTCACTTATTAAATCATGCACATGGTTTTAATTTCCCTGAGATAGAATTTAGGGGTGTTGGATCTTCTTCTTGCAAAGGGAAAAAAAAGAGAGCCACTTGCCAAGCTAGAAGTGGCTGCATAACCTTGACCCTCTGAGCTGCTGCCTTTAAAGGGGTGGCTAGGCCTCCAAAAAAAAAAAAAAAAAAAAAAAAAAGACAAAAACAAAAACAACAACAACAAACCCCATGCATTCCTGGCATTTGTATGGATGAATGTAAAGAATGGTCCTATCCTCAGACCACAGATGATACAGCTACCAAAAAATTTAATTATCTGTTTTTCGACTCTTGCATTCTCAAATTTAGATAGCTTCTTGCTACCTAGATCCCAATGCTCCATATTGTATTTTGACCTTGGAAAGTATCTTTACATAACATATACATTACTAAGGCTTGATCCATTCAGAAGTTTTCATTTAGCCCTGAACATACTGTTACTATATCCTGCCATTTGCTGACACCCGAAATATGCTTTTCGGCTTAAACAGACTCTAGGAATTTTTTATTTAAAGAAAACCCCAGCTTCTAGGTAAGTGTGCTTCCCTCTTAGATTTGGATCAGGCCAGAGAGGACTGGCCAGCCCATCAGAGAGGTTTCTTGGACTATTTTTGAACGGATAACTCCCAAAGTCACGGCACTCTAATTTAAAAAAGAAAAACAACAACAACAAAAAAACATGGGCAGAATCTTTTTGCAAAAGAATTCAGGAAGTTAAACGTAGTCCTCAAACGTTCAGTGGGCGTAAGACAAATTGTTAGTGCTGTATATATAGCAAACGTCTTACAAACACGCTGTGTGCCAGAAATAAACAATATTGTCTCCGTATGATCAGCAAAATATGTCTAATTATCCATCTCCATCTCTGTTATATAGGATGTATAGAAATAAACAATACATATCCATGCCAAGATCACTTAAATTTAAATTAGATCTAATGTGAACTGAATACACACTCAGCATCATATATAGCAGCCATCCATGACGGTGCCGAAAAAGTAGGCATTTGTGGGATGCCTAGAGGGATGTTAACTGGTAGATTTGGTACTTTGGGAAGGTTCACATTGGGTAGGTTCACATTGGGTAGGTTACTGGTTAAACTCCTGTGGAAGAAACAGACAGAAAGAAAAAAATACCATCACAGTGACAATGCAGATGCGGCAGAAGCACATGACAGTTGTAAATAAATTGGCCAAGTTCACAGCAAGACAACAGGGGAAACGCAGGCCACACACTTCAGAAGACAGCTCACGGATGGGGTGTTGTGGTACAGCTCAGTAGTCAGAGAGAAATGACAAAAGTTAATGGGAAAAAAATTAACTACAGAGTGACTTAAAAGTGTGAAAGCTCACAGACACCTATACACAATGATCACATTATAGAAATGCCTTTGTGAGGGGGCTCTGGTTCCCAAATGCACTGCCGTGAGAGTCCAGAACTTGTCTGATACTAAGGACATGAAGTGCATGGAATACTTGGCATCGGTGGGGTGGGGGCTGCTGGGGAAGTGACTGAGACCGATACAAATGGTGGCGTACTTTCCTTTTCTTACTTTTATTCGTAAATTATTTTTGAGGGAGGCACATTTCTCAAGTCAGATATTAGATCCAAGGCAGAATGGGAAATTGACCCACTTGAATGCATACTTCCCAACCGTTACTTCTGAAGACAGGTATATGTGACATGGGGTGTCCTAGTTGAAAGCAAAGACGAAGGGATTGTACCAAGAAGAAGGATTAGCTCTGAGTCACTGTACAAAACACTTAAAGAAACTTGCTCTCCCAAACTAAGTCCAATTAAAATGGAGAAATGTTTACACACCTAAAAAGACACCTAGGAAAAGAAAGTTCACCTCTAGTTCTAAATTCTTGGACCGTAAGTAGATTTGAAATGTGGCCTCATGGGGCAGCTGGGTGGCTCAGTTGGTTGAGCGTCTGACTCTTGATTCAGCTCAGGTCATGATCCCAAGCTCATGGGATCGAGCCCCACAGCGTGCTCCATGCTGAGCATGAAGCCTGCTTGAGATTCTCTCTCTCTGCCCCTCTCCCCCACTCACTCTCTGTCTCTCTAAAACTAAAAAGAAAAATGTGGCCTCGTGTTAGAGCGGTCACACTTGGAAGTGAGATAAAAACTGGAAGAAAGAATGCAGGGGTTTGGGGGGGCACTGGGGATGTTCTGTTTCTTTGTGTGATTATTATAGGGGCATGTTCGGTGTGTGAAAGTTCACCGAGCAGTGTGTTTTTCTGCAAACTGTTAAAATTAATGGAGAGTTAAAAACGTGACCTTGCATCAGCTTCTTGTTTTTTGAACGGAGATTGATCAACTGACATGATGAAGGAGAGACGGATGACCTTACGAATAAAGAGAGAAAACAAAACAAAAACCCCAACTCGAGTCAACCGTATCTCTGCGGAGGGACTGTGGCATTTACTGCTCTTCGAGCTGGCACCGTGTGCCTCTGTAGTGGCATTTTAAGGGTGTTCCATCCAGCCAAAGTCACTGGCACGGTAGAGCCCAGCCTAACTCTGCATCTGAGAGGAGCCTTCCTGTTTAAGTGGAGTTGACAGAACTTTGGCAGAGGAGTTGAGGGTTTCTTTTTGGATCTTGCAGAAGAGCAAGTTTTGCCAAAGCAGATCTGCCCTGGGCAAGCTGTGTTTGACTAACAGAACCCTTGCAAGGGTTGGGGCTGCCTGGGGGCAAGCCTCCTGATAAGTCAGAAGTCCTGGGCCCCACAGAGAGTCAGGACATCTGCCTCCCTCTAGAAACAAGTTACTCTTTCACAATGGCAATCCGGATGGAAAAACCTAGAATGCAAAATATCAAGCTAGCGTTCTTTTCCTTAAGGGAAACAGGTTTGTCTCACAGGTTTGTCCTCTGCACTTCACGTTTTGGGAAAGTTAACTCGCTTCTTTACTTGGAATGAAAGGGTGCCCTTCTAGGAATGGTCAAGAGAAGAGTAGCTAAATATGACTATTAGGTAGAAGAAACAGTGGAACTTCTTCCTTGATGCTTCTCTGTTTAACAGGAGAATCTGCCTCTGAAGTCAGTCCCTGGTGGCTCTCAGACTTAAACACTGCCATGTTACAAAACCGTTGGTGATTTCCATTAAGACGTGTAAGCCTACATAAGCAAATGTGATCATTAGATGATACACACACTGAATAATGATCAAGGAATTAGGAGATCTTTAGAGATGGCAGCCTGGCAAGTTAAAATGTCAATTCTAAGCAAATTAAAAGTAGCTAGAAATGAATAACATACAGATGTATGCAAAAGCAACTTAATTTAAACATATTAGCGGATGGTGGGTACACAAATTAGAAATGAGCTTTGTTTTGCATATGCAAATTTGAAAAATACTTATATTAATCAAAGCATATTGTATTTGTAAAATATGACATTTTGGCTGGATTACTGGACTCGTAGAAACATTTCCTTCATGTGACATACTAGAATGCTCTACTTTTAAAAGACTGAAACATGCTTGATATTTCTGCATTCAGCAAAATAATATAGTGTCGTATTAGTGTTACTAATATTTCACTTGGATATTAATAACTTGTATTAATAGTCAAAGAGGCAATTCCAAGCATAATATACATGAGAAAAGGGAGAATTTTCTAGTAGCACTCAGGTCAGATCAGGCTCCAGGAGCCACTGATGGGGATAACAAATTGCCCTTTAGTAACTACCTAAAAACAAGTCCATCACAGGCCTCTCTGTGAGAATCATAATGGGACATCTCTGGATACTATAAGAGGTGTGAATTGTAATCACAACAACTGATATATGTCAAAAATCAGACTCATTCTGGGGCATCTGTCTGGCTCAGTTGGAGGAGTGTGCAACTCTTGATCTCAGGGTCATGGGTTTGAGCCCTGTGTTGGGTGCATTTACTAAAAAATAACCTTGAAAAAAATTAGACTCATTCATTTTAGGGACTCTGCTAAAAAAAAAAAAGGGTAGCTCCCATTCAGGTCAAAGGGACTGTCCCTGGATCACTGAATTAAAAAAATATCATCTGCTCTCTCTCTTTCACATGGATAAATGTCACAAATGTGCATGCCTCATTTCTATGGATGAACAACCAGAGGTAGAGACATCTCTTACTTCTGGAATAAATTCTAATCAAGACTGTGTCTCTATGCAGAGAGGATATGGTTGGGTCTTCTCTCAAAGACTTCTGGATGGGGTTAGACTTGAGATTCAGAATGCCTTCCACTTTATGAGCCATTTGTTGCATGAATCTACATAGTACATCTTGTCTTCTTTTGGTGCTCTGGACACTAAAGCCTTTCTCCATGATTATCCTCAGGTCTAATCCCTGGCTTGGGATATGGGCACTCTTTGATACCTTCCTATAGTTTAGAATGATGTTTCCCAACCTTTTATTCATTATCACCACCAGGCCCCCAACTGCCTTCCCCGTGAGAATTTCATACCACCAATGTACTGTGTATCTGTTTATGAACTGTATGTAGACCTGTGCTTTATACATATACATAACAAGAGTAAAAATTTTTTTGCCCCTCTTCCCTGCCAAGAACCAATTTTTACCAGTCTGGGAGCTATGAAGCCCCTGTTTGAAAAGTATGACCTAGAGAATAAAGTTCTAAACTTCATGGGATTTTAGAACCTCCCAATCAACTTTCCAACCTTATAGCTTGCTTCCTTCCTAATCCATGCTGGCCCAAATCAAACATTCACCGTTTCTACTTCCGCCATATTTCTGCATTTGCTTATGCTCTTTCCCAGCACTTACCCCTCTGGAAATCTTACTCTCCAAGCCATTCCCTTTGTGACTCCTCAGTTGAGATTTGTTCCCCTCTATTCCATGCTTTCATCACACTTTGTTATGCTATTTCTACATTGGTAAATATTTAAAGTTATTTTTCTTGTGTGTATGTTGCTCAGACCCAGCTAAATTGAGATCCCAGACCAGGGGATTATATCTTTCTCTCTTTCTCATCCCCACAGTTTCTCTATTGTATCCTTGTAATTTGCAGGCTGTATAGTTCCTTAATAAATGTCAGTCAATAAATATTTATTGAGCACCTACTGTGTCCCCGGCTCTGTTCTAGGTGCTAGGGAGGTGCTGGTGACCAAATGTGGATATGGGGTGAATATGGAAAATCACATTTTCCAGAATGCTTGAAAAAGTCTTGGGTATTCAAAGTCTTTGTTTTACAAAGGAGGATAGTGAGGCTCAGGAAAGTCATCTGACTTGCCCAAGGTCACCCAGCAAGTTAACGGCAGTCAGGAGTTCAGTCTCCTCTCAGTCTAGTACTTTTGCATTTCATCCCAGGTCACCTACATGTCGCTAAGGTGCCTTTGGTCTGACAGTTCATTAAGATATTGATATCTTTGACAATCTGGAAAATGAGGTTATTTAAAAAACACCTTTCATATATACATCTCAGGCAGAGAGAGGTAGAGTGCATTCTGAGAAATGAGAAACCCAGATTTTTCAGTGTGCATATGTCAAAAATAGTGTCTAGAGCAACCATTCAGAGCCCTTTTAACCTGAAATGGGTAACCATGAAGGGGGGATTCCCTGTACCTGGAGGTGTTTAAGTGGAGATTGAGACATGATCTGTCAAGGAAAAGGTGGTGTGGAGTGGGTACATAGTAGTCCTGGGGAGCTTCGGATTACTTGCTTTCTAAGTTTGCTTCCATGACGAAGGCCACAATGACTTGACTAACAAGGAGCCAACTCTGAAGAGCTGGTAGAAAGGCTGCCCAACGTCAGTGAGAGCCAAAAGCTCATATTCAGGGCTGCAGGGAGAGTTGGGGACAACCTTCCCAGCAATACCCCTATGACCTTTCCTAATGGACACCCATGAGGGCGCTATGGGCTCTAGCTTGAGCCCATTCTTGACAGGCTGACGGCCTTCCGCTGTGGTTATAGAAGCGGTACAATGACATTTTCCACAAATGCATTGAGATGCTGATCATGACGGTTATCTGGCTTAAGGGACACAGAGATGCAGCAACCCATTCTCCCTTGCAGAGATGGAAGGCCATCTTTCTAGAGAAAAGCAGCACTAGAACTTGGCAATGTTTATCAAGTAGCTTCAGTTGTATCAAGCTCAAAGGATTATATTTCTGGTTTATTTTGCAGGTCTATATTTTGAAATAAGAAAATCTGAAGAAGAAAGAATACTTCTGTTTTTAGCAAACTCAATATATCAGTAGTATTTTCTTTTCAGAGTGCTGTTTTTCTTTAATAACTTGAATGTTAGTTTCTCTTGCAGTAAGCTTTACAATGCATTTCTCAGTCATTTTACCTATAATCAGGTGCCTGTAATCACAACTTTTGAAAAATGAAGAACAGAGCTATTTGAATATAACAATTATTTGAGGGAAAGGCTGTGTGTATGTATTGTCTGTGTGTGTATGTGTGTGTGTGTGTGCGCGCGCGTCTGTGTGTGTGTGTAATGGAGGAACACGTGGTAAGATTAGAGAAGGTTGTACAAACTGAATCTATTTACCTAAGTCAGTTTCTTGTTCTTGAGTACGCATAATAATAATAATAATAATAATAATAATAATAAAACATTCCAAAAAGAGCATTCTTTACTTGGGAAAAAAATACAAAAAGGAAAATGAATCTCTGCTTCTTCACTAGTGGTCAGATAAGAGTTTGTACTTTCTCTTCATGTGATAGGAAGTATAGAAAGACTCATTGTTAGCACATAAAAGGAAGTCCCAAGGTCTTTTTACCCTTCATTTTGTGCCGGCCATTTCTGCAAATCTGTCATAGCACCCACGTTCTGTTTACAAATCAGCTAATAAAATGTGTGTGGTTTCAAAGAATTGTAATTTCATGTATGTTTTAGTTGGCACTTCCAAATGTGTCCATATACTCCAAAAGGCATGTACTATTTACCACGAATTGAACAGACCACAATCACGGTCACTAACCAAGAGCACAGTTTGACCCGCAAAAAGCTACTTGAGAAGAAAAAAAAATCTACATAAAACATTCCCAAGCTATTATTCACAACTATTCATGCTTCCCTAATGGTCAGATCTTTAAATTACTGATCCAAGAGTTCAAATTGTATTCTTTTAATCATTCAAAAGAAATCCGCAACAAAACCCTCCCTAACACGTCCATTTGTGAAAGTCATTTTGATTCTACCTTTATTTCTTATGTTATCGAGAATATTTAATGCTGTAAGAGGAATAGCAGATATCTGCTTGAAGAATTTAACAGATTATAAAATGACGTCAATGACATTCTCCCAGAGCTTCATGACAATTCTCAGATACCGGGTAGGGACATTTTAAAAAGTCAGTTTTGGGGCGCCTGGGTGGCGCAATCGGTTAAGCGTCCGACTTCAGCCAGGTCACGATCTCGCGGTCCGTGAGTTCGAGCCCCGCATCAGGCTCTGGGCTGATGGCTCAGAGCCTGGAGCCTGTTTCCGATTCTGTGTCTCCCTCTCTCTCTGCCCCTCCCCCGTTCATGCTCTGTCTCTCTCTGTCCCAAAAATAAATAAACGTTGAAAAAAAAATTTTTTTAAAAAAAAGTCAGTTTTATAGAGGAGAAGTTCAGAGAGTTTCAAAGTCTTGCCTTCTGGCTGGTAAGTGGAGGGCAAGGCCCTAACCCCAGGGCCCTTGAAGAAATACTGACGGATACCAATCATTTCCTCCCATGTTTGCTAGTAACAGCATCCACATTTAAACCCAAGTAAGTACAAGCTATTTCAAGACCATTACTATTTTGAAAATGTGAATATTACTCATTTGAACCTTTCCCTTTTCTCAGCTGTTCTCCACAGCACAAGTGTCTTGAATATAATGAGCATTTACAAAAAAATACAGCCCCTCGTTCACGCTTGATCATTAAGGGACCCAGTTTAACTCTCCTGCGTTAGAAGTCAGCAGGGCCATATTAAGAGAAGGTTATAAACCTGAGAATAACAAGCCAAGATTTAGATTTCTTGGTACTTGCGAATGAAGAGCAACTACCTATTAACTTGCTTTCAGTAGGGTAAGTCAAGAAACTTCTCCTGTGGCTTAGACGTGGGGGAGGGGGGCAGGTGATGTGTGGCTGAGAAAGCTATTTTGCACTCATTTCTTTGTCAGTTAGAGTCGTGCAGTGTAATATGAAGAGGAAGAATCTTAATCCAGAAAACTGTGTAGAGACAGGGCACAAGTCAAGTCCTTGAACTTGAGGGAAATGTTTTAGATATTTGTTCTGAAGTACCTCAAAGTGTGCTGTACCTACCCCCGTGATGCTCTATACTGATTGTTACTTCTCAAAGATGGAAAGGACTAGAAAGAACAAAATGCTTTTCTTACAGAAAAGAAAAAACAAAAAGGAATCTGACAGGGCAAAATTAATACCAGGCTTTATTGGAGCTTTTCAAATCATACCATAAAATTCTCAACACCTAGCAGCCCTCTACTTCTCTAGAAAGGGGAGCCTAAGACTGACCCTCCAGCATTCTTGAGTCACAGCCCTCCTTCTTGCTGGGGACACAGGTGGCACTGATTGTGCCAGACATTTCCAATGGGATCTAAGATTTGCTAAGCAATTGTGGAAATTGCCAAATTTACACCCTACAGGATTTCCGGTCGTTGGTCCTACAGGAGCGATGTCCCATTGACAAAATAAGAGGTCAAATACATTTAGGAAGCTCCAGGTTAAACAGAGTTAAATAAGGGTCTGTATTACCATGCTCTCAGAGTTTTCAAATATGCTGCTGTGCTTTCTGCTTCTCCAGGAGATATAGGTGTGGGGTGGATGAGTGGGGTAGATAGACTTTCCTAAACATATCTGGCCACAGAGAAGTCTTCTCTCAAAGTGCGTCTCCAAGGACTAGACCAGGAAATGGCAAACTGTAGCCTACAGGACAGTTTCCTGGTTTTGAAAATAAAGTTTTATGGGAACACAGCCACACTCGTTCATTTGCCTTTTTGTCTGGTTTTGGTTTTTCACTACAAGGGTAGAGCCGAGGAGTTGTGACAGAGATTATGCACCTTGGAAAGCCTAAATATTCACTACCTGGCCTTTAATAGAAAGAGTTTGCTTGGCTAGACCCCTATGGAACACACTGTGGGAAACGTTAATTCCTAGGGGTATCACCACTGGAGTCAGCTACACAGTACTAACATCACAGCCAGGTTTCTATCCCTTATTTCTTATTTATCTTGTGCAATAAAACAAAGATTTCACTTCATAAAGCATTTCTCAACCTCCTTCTCCCTCCCCCACTTGTGGGTGAGCATCACAGTTAGAAACATGTACAGTGTTTGCTCTCTGTCCTTGCTAATGATAAAAACTGTGACACCGTTAATCCATTTCTGTATGACTGTCCAGCCATTTGCACCCAAACTCCGATGATATCAAAAGAGGCTTCCTTACTTGACTGGTTCCCATGACTCCCGCTCAAAGCCCCTGTGAATGGATTGTGCAATTGAGGACTCCATCAAATCCACATATCTAACCACAAGTGGGGCAAACAGGTCTTGCAGGTGTTTGTGAAATTTTCCATTGCACAAATTATCTAGAACAGATAAGCAAAAGCTTGGTAAGAACCCAGAGTTGGTTTGTAAGCATACAATGTACATACAGAAGGGATTGTCTTTTATATTAAATATACCGTTTCTGGGGGAGGCGAAAAAGAAGCAGGGGGGAGGTAATAAAAGTATATGAATGGCACTGAAGCTCATGATTCAATCTGTGTGGGAGGAGAATGGAATTCAAAAATATTTCACCCATTTGTTTTGTTCTTCTAAAAAGGGAAAGCAATCACGCTCCTTTAAAAACACAGTGAGGGGCGCCCGGGTGGCTCAGTCGGTTGAGCGTCCGACTTTGGCTCAGGTCATGATCTCACAGTTCGTGGGTTCGAGCCCCACGTCTGGCTCTGTGCTGACAGCTCAGAGCCAGGAGCCTGCTTCCGATTCTGTGTCTCCCTCTCTCTCTGCCCCTCCCCCACTCACACTCTGTTTCTCTCTCCTTCAAAAATAAATAAACATTAAAAAAAATTTTTTTTAAATTAACTCTAAAAACACAGTGAAAACAATGATCGACAACTGGTTTTCAGGTTTTCCTTGCACCCACTCCCCTCCCTCCCGTGACATGCCCAGAAAGAAAGAGCATTCTGTCCCCCTCCCCTCCTTCATCACTTCTTGGAAGGAAGGTTTATTTTATGGCTATGTGTTGCTGTAAGGTACTGAAACGCTTGGGGTGTTATTTAGCTGGAAATTGTTTTTCATCTAGAAAACATCTTTCAATAAAAATTTCAAAATGTGAAGAGGTTAAGTTAATTAGCTTGTTCAAAAGCAAATAAAACACACAGGCATGGGTCCCGCTTATCACACAGCTCTTGAGTTCTCCTGCCTAGGGAAGAGAGGGCTTTCCTGTAACAGGACATTTGTTGGAAGAACGAGAATGGCCATCAGCTGTAAGCTTGTGTTGTTTTTAAAGTCATAAGAAAACTACGAAGGGGGTTCACGAGCCTGTAGTCTGCCTGGGACAGAGGAGACATCTCATTGATCTGTTTATTTACCTATTATTGATCTATTTATCTGCACACTACTTAGGAAAGTCAACCAGTCGAAGACGATACGTACAATCAGTACGGAGAAAATCATTCAGCAGCTGAAACAGTGGAAAACTGTCCCATGTGTCTGGGGGCTGCACCTCTAACGCCGCATCCATATCCACTGCAAAGAGTGACAGGAACGTCTCCGCATGCTCCACCATCAAGTCTGACCACCACGCAAAGGCCTTTGAAATTTGGCAGAAAAACAACAGACAAAGAGGCGATGAGCTTTTCTCTCCCACCGAAGATGTGAAGTCAAGTCCTCACTGGTCAAGATTAATGGTGCATCAGCAGGGTTTGGTGACTTTATTGTAAAAAGAACAGCATTTTTCAGACAAGTGGGCTTTTACGTGTCCCGAGGCAATGCTTTTCATAATTCCAGGCCTGCCTTCAAACGTATTCTGATCTGCTGGTCAGAGGACGCAGCCGGAGGAATGGCAGACGTGGAACTTCTGTTCAATTTACAATAATCCAGTACGTTTTGAGTCATGCTCTTTGTCACTGCCGTTGGCTAGCTCTTGCTCTAGGGTATTCGAATTTGGGAGTTTCTTCACTGTGTTTATGGGTTTTCTGCTGGTCTAACTTGAAAATTTGCAGTTATTATTCACTTACATCTATACATCTGGGCTTAAATGTCTACGGTCTCATACAAGCTCAGCAACTCATTATTTCTCTATGCATCGGTAATGTCACTCCTATTTCATACCAAGGCAAAGGAAACCATTGTTGCAATTGTCACCAAACTTTTAAGTCAAAATCTCTTTCAGCAGGGAGCCTCTGGTTTTGCATCCTGCCTGTAGGGAAGATCAGGCTTACGCTAGGAAGCACTCAGTAAGATCAGGACTTACTTTTCCGGGGGTCGGACACATATGTACATTGAAAACCAAAAAATATCAGTGAAGTAACTCATTTTCATGCACGTGGGTCCTTGGAAATCATTGTGCAGGGTCTCAGGGACAACATTCGCATCGGACGAGGCCAGATGTGAATGCCATTCAAAGGCATGCATGCATGTTGACTAATCATTTCTGGCAGGGAGCATGCAGAATGAGTGGCGGTGTCAACAGCCCCCCCCCTTTTTTTCCTGATTTCAAAGAGAGCAGAGAAACAAAAGCAAATTGGCTGCCCATCTTGTCCCCCAGCCCCCAACCCAATGCCGTAAAGTATTTACATTGGAAACACTTTCCGGAGCATTCACCAAAAAAAAAGATGGGAAGGCGTTTGGAAACATGAAAGATGATTATGGAAATAATTCCATAAATGAAAAGAGTTTGCTCAATGGCCAAGCTCTTCTGTGATTCATTAGTTATTTGGGGATATTCTAACAGCCACTAGGAGGCAGAATAGGGGTCCACCTCTCTTCTTTCATGAGATTTCATTTTACTTACTTCTCCTTTATCAACATGTGGCTGGTTTGCAAATTAAATGGAAAAAATCAAGTCATGGACCATTCTGCAAGGTCAGCGTGGCTGGAAATTGACACCTGCTGTTTCCATTTTAACTTACAGTAAAACCTCACCGACTCAGAGTAAGGAGAGAAGAGAGATGCTCGCCTGTCAGCAAAAAAGCCTACATTATGGGGTTTTCTAAAAAGAGATATCATTTTACTGCTTTCAAATGCAGTCAGTACTTGGGCACGAAAGTGAAAGGCGTTTGCTGGTTGCCATGTAAGTGTCTCATAAATGTAGAGGTTTTTTTTTAAACTTCTAATAACCATAGACCCACTGATGCTTAAAGTGAAGTCAAAGAGATAGAAGCTTTAACTTCAGAGGTCCTGGGATAAAACTTGTGAGAAGAGCCGTTAGAATTTCCAGAGAAAGTTGAGATCATGTCAAACATTCCACTTCAGAAAAATGAAAAGAGCCACATCTGCAGTTGAATTGCCGCAAGTATTTGTGTCTGAATCGATGAGGTTTTATTGTGGTTTTCCTGCCTGGGCACGAGGTCCCTGGGGTGTGGGGCTGGCTCCACACTGACTACCTGGCTAAATCCGGCAGAGGAAGAAATCCTCTGCCCCACCCCCGGAGCTCTCCCAGCCACCTGTGTTTTGGGCAGAGACCTTGAAAATATTGGAACTTGCTGGAGTCCCACTCCCACCCCCACCCCTAGATGGCGGGATGACTCTCATTAATCCTGATGCAGGAGATTTGCAAACTTCACAAAGACACGCCAAATGTTGGCTGATACTTCCTCATTAGTTATTTTATGAACTTTATAGCTTCAGGGTGAGTCCAAGTAAACAGTTACTGGGAAGACTGAGTTGCCTACTCAGATATGATTTTGCTCTCGGATGACGGGGGTGGGGGGGCAGGGTGTGGAGAAAAAGAAAGAGAGAGAGAGAAAAAAAGAACAAAAAACCAATCCTAAATGTCTGAAATTCCAAATTTCTTAGCCCAACTTCACGCCTGGTTCTTACTAGGTTTATTGAGACGTTGCAAACCAGAGGCCCAAATAAGCACCCACTTCTATCTATAGAGAGCCTAGTCCCTCATTGGAATTTCATAAAATTGAGCAATTATCTATAGCTGTTGCATGAATAGGTATATAGATAGGTAACCCTACAAAGAACAATGACTACCATGATATGAATGATCACTATTGAAGTCTGGCAGAGAAACTTTGGATTCTAAAGTGAAGATCATTTAAATATAATAGCTGTAGGAGAAATGAAGACCAAATCTATTTCTGTCCACCCAAGGTAATTCTTCCAGAACCACATCAGGAGGTTCTGGAGAAAAGATTCTGGCAAGGGCAGTCACAACCAAAAAGCCATTATCATAATTTCAATCAAATGAACAGAATCCGTGTGACTGGGTTGGGCAAGGCAAGCTTGAAAATTTAAAAAAAACCACCAAAACAAAACCTAACAACTATATTTATCTCACGCTTGTTCATACAGGTGAATGCTACTTTGGTACACGACCGAACTCAAAGTCTGTGGGCATCCGAAGCCTTTGGAGATCTTTTCCAAAGATAATAAGGAGTTGTACTTTGGCTTCTAAATACTTACCCGCTCATTTCATTATTTAAAGGCAAAGATGTATGCTTTAGGAATACAGTCCACCACACTGAGCACATTGTCTATTTTGTACACAAACTACATGTATATATGTATCCCTTCGTGTACCACAATACATATATACATATACATACGTATACATAGAGAGAGATTGGAAAGGGAGAGTAATGATACGTGAAGGCATTATTCGTGTGTATGTGTGTGCGTGCATGTGGGAATAACTTCAGCTCTCAGAGCAGAATTAAGCTGAGATTAAGAAATAAACGTGACAACTACCACCGTATCGTGCATGCGTGTATGTGTGACATAGTTCCAGCCGATGAGAATGTTTTCTCTTGGGGTATTTAATTACTTTGTACTGGAATTAAAAATGATTCTAAGGATTGTTGGGTTTTTTTGGTGAGGGAGGCAAGTCTACTTGTCACATTCGTTTGTGTAGAGCCACGAAACGCCATGGCTCCACGGCCGAGATCCATGCTTAGGGTTTAGTGATTTTCTTGAGTGTATCTGAGCGATCAGAGAAGATGCAAGGAGGACTGGTCAGTAGAAAAAAAAATTCTTCATACTTCATTCTTTTTGGCAGCCAAACCTCGTCTTAAACATATCAGAGCAAATTCTACTTCGTTAGCTGTAGTCCAGGGGGCTCTCGACCCAGCTCTACTTTGAAATCAGCTGGGCAGTTTTACAAATTACTAATACTCAGCTCCTCCCCGTGAGATTCTGACTCCTCGAGCTGGGGTGACACCCTGGCATCAGTAAGTTTTAAGGGCTTTCCAGGTGATTGCAATCTGTAAGTGAACGCTCCGAACAAACGGTGCCTTTCTGGATGCTTCCACCTTGAAAAGAGCCCCTTCTTCTTTCCACATATTCTGTCTGTACCTGTCACTTGACACTTTCCACATAGGTTTTGTCCTTTTTCATGATCACATACTCAATATATTTGGCTTCCTTAGCAATTCGTCCCCAAAAACGCAACAGCCAAGCTTTGCTGAGGACTTACTACGTGCCAGGCATCACGCCAGACACTTTACTTCACGCGGACTTCCATCCCCAAACGACCATCTGAGGTAGATTCTATTATTCTCTCTCATTTACAGGATAAGAGAGGTTACGTAACCCGGTCGAGATCATAAAGCAAGGGGCAGGTAAAGCTGGAATTCGAACTCAAGCTTCTCTGACACAGAACCCGAGCTCCTGGCCACTATGCACTGTATTGTTTGAAGGTCAAGACTGCCTTATGTTTCCTTGTTCTCCCAAAAAGCACTGAGGTAGGTTGCCTCGGTGCTTAGCAGATAGGTAACTTTTGATCCATTCATGAAATTCTGTGATTGGGTGAAATTACTAATTCAGGAAACGATCCTGTACATTTCTCTAAAACCGAATCAAGTCTCCCAATTCCAAAGTGTGAAGTTTTCAGTCTAACTTCTAATGGAAACAGAATTGGATTTATTCCTACCCTATTTACTTACCCCGGATGGCTTTTCAATGCATAAGATTAAAATATTTTTATGATGATGGTTATTAGGGCAGTTTAAGATGATGATTAGCGCTTACTGAGAAAAGTGCTTGTCTGGAAAAGTAAAACAAACAAAAATGTCTTCTTTGTAATATCAGCTTCCCTTTGGTACCTCTTTTGAGTAATTTAGGAAAATATTCATCCTTCCTTAGCCTGTAGCAGCCTGAGAGTATCACGTGATTACAAATGAAGCATGTCTGTCACTTTTGTTCTTCTTTTAGTTAAAAGGACAGCAGCACAGCTGTGACTGAGGAAAGCCATCCTCTTCGTATCCAGGTCTTTAGAAATGTGTAGATTTGGTTTGGCATCATGGGAAAAGCCTCAACATCCAAATCAGGGGAGGGCAGGCCAGAACCCCTGTGGAGCTCTGGAAATGATTCGGTGGACACCCAGAAAGAACGTACTTACCGTCACTTAAACCCCCAAGGCCCCCCATCTGAAAAGGATGTCCTCTAGGATGGAGTCGAAAAAAAATTATCCTAGCCCAACTTAATTTTATATGTCTGGAGGTAGGTCCTAGTTTCCAGGTTTGCAGGGGGTTGATTTGGCCCCTCTTCTCATTCCCGGCTGTGCACCGCTTGTAGGAGTTAGTTACACTCGCCTCAAAGGGTCTTCACCCCGTTCTTAGGAGGGTTTTGGGGGGAATCATGATTCTTTGACACTCTCTCTATATATAAATACTGTATATATGATTCACATACAGACAGTTGTAGAGGAAGATTAGTATCACTCTGGCTAGCTACTGGTTACTACATTCGGTACTCAACTGCTGTGGTAAAGGTAAGTACAGACGGACGTAGGAAACTAAGACAGGCTAAGGACAGGATCCAGGCAGGTAGGAGGCGCGTGTCGGGATGTAACTGCACTTGTTGTTAAGTATGTCACTCGCTTCATGCACGCACAAGAGAACCCCCACATTTACCCTGCCGTGGAGGGCCATTTCACAAGCAGTCCACTGGAAGTTGCCGTTACATTCCTCGGGTCAGTGTTAGGAAGCAGGAGCACCCAGGAAAAATCCCAGTAGAAGACATGATACTTGGAAGGGCATGCACAGACTATGACAGCAGGTGGCTGGCTCATTCGGCTTAGTCACATACCTCTTTTCCCTGCCACGATCAGCCATGATTGAGTGGAACAGTAGAAAAACAGGGAGGAAATTTAAATATGCAATCAGGCATTAGTCGGGACGATTGGATTTATGGTGTATTATATATTATGTAACTACACTGTCAATTTTCCTGTATCATGGGAATGATCATTTTAAGTGCTTGAGAAATTGCTTTTATGGAGTGCCTTGGTTCCCCTCTTGCTGCAGAACTGAATGGAGAGGAAGAGCGAAAATTAGTGCGATTTTCAAAAAGGTTATTTTAAGAGCAATTTTAAATCTCGGTTTCTGAAACAGGAAGTGACAAAATAGTTTGACCATAATGGCATCTTGGGATCTTTTTTCTTTTGGAAGGGTTGGGTTGTTGAAGTCCTTGCAGTTTTGGGATTTAGTTAGCCTTGAAATCCCTTAGTTTACAGCTATTATCAAAACGATCGTTTTGACAGTGGTTCGTAAAAGAAAAAGAAAAAGTAGGCTGTATTTATTCAGATGTATGTTGGAGAATCGACAAGTTGAACAACACAGAATAATTTGCTTCCGTCACCGCATTTAGCAACCTAGGTCATCCGAGATTAACCAGTGAAGGCTCTCGTGCGAGCAGAGTAAGTTACAGAGATAAATTCAAAAACATGGCCTGCGATCCACACACCAAATAAAATGAATAAAAACAACAGTGGTGGCAACAACAACAACCACAAAAGACCAAAAAGTATCGTGTGTGTTCCCGACGATAACCTTGTGCTGCTGGAATACATGTTATCTTTAAAATACACTCACCTCTTTTGCTTGTTGTTAGAAACATCTGAAAACTTAAAGCTGAAATGTATAACATGTAGCCACTTTTTGTTTGTTTTAAACGACCTTCCAAGGGCTTCTCCTTGCAAAACTTCCACTCGCCTTCTCTTTGCAAGGCCAGTTAAAAGAACATGTGTGTTAAGGCATCTCGTTGGTTTGAATTGCTGGGAGGATGGGGTCTGCACTTTCCCGCTAAGGGACACCCAGAGAAACAACTTCCCGCCCGGCCCGCTCACCTCCGCGTGGTGCTCCTCATTCTGTTGGAGAACCTCAATGACTAGTTCAGCAAGACGGATTGTGTCTTCGAGCTTTTTGGCAGGAGTGATTAATCGGCCTACATTTTCTGTAGTACAAGAATTGGTGTTAAAATTCAGTGAGAGCTTCGGGCTAGTTTTGCGGCCATTAGAACTAGTGGATAAGACATTTCAAATCATCACCAATTTTTTTTTCTCTAAAGGTTCATGCAAATGTTCAGTGCCACGTAATTAGTAGTGAGCAGACCATAAAGCCATTTTGTTATTAACACCATCCTCATTATAATACATATTAAGAAAAAGCAGTGCTCCAGCTGCAAATTTTCATAGTAAGGCTATATTAAGTTTATGACAGCCCATTTCCAATTGAGTGACATTTTGTACACACGTTCTTTAAAGACAGCATAAATGCACTATCTTATATCACTCTCTAGACCGTGTTCGCGCTACCTGAGGCAGGACTCTGACCCCTGACTGCTGTGACATTTGTTTCCTGGATTTGTCCCTGAACGTTTGGTACTTCAGCTTTGTTTTTCATTACAGGTCTGCATGCTTAACAGGTATTGGAATGTTCACTTGGAACAAACAGAATCAAACGTCTGGCTGTTTGAAGTTGTCCAGGGAGGAAACTGAAAGCTAACGGACATTCCTGAGCTATTAGGTAGAAGACAGGATAGAATCATTAAAAGGGCGTTGGGGGTAGAGGACTGGAGGAAGGGATGGTAGTCTGTGCCACGGTTGGTAGGATTGAAATTTTATTTGGGGGGTGGGGGTAGTGGTGGCAATGATGTACTCAAAACTGGTTCTTTGTTGTTAGTTTTTATTATGTTGAAAGCATTGTGTTTTTTTTTTTTT